TAAAATGATCAGTTTCTCTGATTTTACTCTTTATAGGTTTATGTTTAAGTAAAATGAACTTAGTTCTTTTATTCTATGAACTACTGACATGTCTCTGAAATTCCAAGCAAAAATTTTTTATTTATTTGTAGAAAATGAGAAATGGTCAAAATAACGAAACAGATGCTTTCAGGCTTCAAATAATGCAAAGAAAACAAATTCATATTCATTTAGAAACAAAAATCCTAATGTTTTAACTCAGGAAGAGTTCAGAAATCAATATTTGGTGGAATAACCAGGAGGTTTTCAATGGGGTTCAGTGCAGTGGTTAATTTTTTCCACAGTTGTAGTTGTACTTGTAGTTTCCACAGTAATTTTATGTCAATACTGAAATGTTTGTATGTCCTTTTGCCACTTTCGTCTTAAAAAAATTGACTATTCATTATTTAGAAAGTTTAACACCAATAGATATAGTTTTATACATATTTTTTAATTAATGCTTTCTGCATTACACAACAGCTGTTTAATGAACTCTGTCACGGCGTCAATGTGCACACGTTCACCTGCAGGTTGGACGACTCGTTGTAAAACTCTCCTCTGATGTAGATGTAAGCAGCACGAGCCCCCATGGCCCGGCCTGCGATCAGGCAGCCCTCCACCAGCTTGTGCGGGTCGTGCCTCATGATCTCTCTGTCCTTGCAGGTTCCAGGCTCTCCTTCATCTGCATTCACCACCAGATACTTTGGCCTAAAATACAGACACAAAACTGGGTAAAGTCACGTAGGAAAAGCAGCAACAATTATGGAAAGCAGAATCAGTTTCCCATCGGATAAAACTGAACTGTAAGAGCAACAACATGAATGTGAGCAGAAGAACCGAACTAGGAGAGAAGTTAATAGATTAACTGACTGATAAACATTTATGAAATTCTTTGTTTTCATTTCAGCTATTGAGGAAATCAATGATTGGTTCAATAGTAAATACAAGTAGAAAAATTTTAACAAATATTTCTAGCTGCATTTAAGGAAAGAAAGCTGAACCTAACATTTACAATGGAACTGTGAAAAAAGTCTTGAACAAGGTTGAAACAGTTAAGCAGATAAATCATCATTTCATTGATTATTAAAATTATCAACTCATTTTGTAATCAATTAATCTCACGTTACACAAAAAAGGCAACTTTGCCGAGAGAACACACTATGAACAGTAATTAAGCCAAAACTATACAAATGCTGTAAAATAAATAAAAAAATTAAAAAAATTCAGTTAATCAAAAAGGAATCAACAGACCGTTCGCTGTACTTACTTTAATTCAATTTCACTTCCCTCTTCAACCTAAACCCAGATTACTAATATAATAATTACTTTCTTGACTCCATTTCTATATCATTGAAGGCTTTAAAACAAAAAATATAAGGAGGAGATCAGAGGTAAATCGGCCAGGCTCTCTGTACTGACCGGCCGTCACTGGGCTTGTTCATGAAACTCCACTTCATGCCAGTAGGGAACCCGGCTCCGCCTCTCCCCCGCAGGCCAGAAACCTTGATCTCATTAAGAATCCAGTCGACCCCCTTCAAAAGGATCTCCTTGGTTTTGTACCAGTCGCCACGCTTCAGTGCCCCGTTTAGCCTACCGGGAAGCAAAAAGCAGGTAAATATTGTAAATTATTCCTTTTTTAAAATCATTTTGATTGCCCAAGTGTACAGAATGAACGTTGTGATGTTCTGGATTAAGTAAAAGTCATGTTACCTCCAGTCATGACGGCCATAAAGATTTGTGAAAATTCTGTCCTCGTCTGCCAGTGGGCCAAATTTAGTTTTCTTTGGAGCACTCTGCTTAAAGAAAAACATAATTTTTTTGTATATGCTTTTTAAAAGTTAACGGTTCTAATTGAAACAGACAATGTACCTGTGCAGTGCTGTTGAATCGACAGAGAGTGGTCACGCCTCCTTGGCTGACCGCAGCCGGAGCGCGGGCCACGGCGCCCACCACCGAACGAGACAAGGACAGCATCCTTCCAGCAGCAAACACAAAGAGCAGCAGCTTTAATACTTCAGCATCAGAGCTCTCGAGTTATTTTATTTCAACAAGACAGAAATAAACACTTTTTTTCATCAGAAAACTAAAAATCTTTTAAAAAAGCTATTATTGGACCAATATTTTCCATAACACACAGCTCTTCATGTCAAAAACAGCTGCCAGAACAGAAACATGTGAGGATTGAAGTATACTTCTAGTGACAAGAGCAAATATAGTGTTAACAAAACATCCAACAAATGTATAAGTTATATGTCGCAATCACACTGTTAGGATCCAATAATTGCCCCATGTTGCTTGTACACAAACCATTACTGAATGCAAACAAACTTATCTTGCAGAACCTCCTGGACAAACTACAAAGGTTTCAAATCTACAAAATGTCAAATTATCTTGTAATCTTTTAAATTGGTCTTTGTCAGTTGTTCTCCAGGCTGTTTGAATGTGTTTCTAAATTTCTTTTTTTTGACTTCGACTGCTCACTTTATATGCAATCTTTGTAGTTGACCTTATCAAAATATTGGGAAAAATGTAGGAAAATTGGGCTAGTATACCACAAAAGCAGCAAGTTGTGTTGCTTTTGCATATTTGACCAAACCTGTGAACTTTTTGGTGTATTTGAGTATGCTGTACTAGTGCAGAGTTATCAAATATATTTGAAATTCAGTACATTTATGACCATGTTTTTTTTTTGTTTTTTTTAAAGAAATGTTTTAAGTCAATTGAGGGCTGTTTTTCTGTATTGGACCTATGGTTTTATTCCTGAAACAAACAAAAAATTTAAACTGAAAAATTCAATCTGGGAAAACAAATTATAAGTAAAGTATATATTTTATTTAGCTCAGATACTTGTTTTATTCAGTTCAATAAAAGCATACTGTGTCGTAATTAGAATCTCAATGTAAAATCCACAAAAATAATAAGTGCCAAAATAAGACACTTATCGATGGTTACATCACGTTAACCTGTACATCCAAAACATCAACTTAAAAACAAAAACAACATGGCTGTTACTTTTAAGAACAATCCCAAAATTATACGTATTTTGATATTTCAGAGATTGCCTTGTCATATTTTGTGTTGTTATGTCAGATGAACAAAAGTAAGCTAAAATGGGAGAGAAATTGTGATCAAAGTAGTTGAGTTGTTACAATTATTAAAATTACTTATATTCAGTACATATATATATATATATATATATATATATATATATATA